GATGGATGGATGGATGGATGGATGGATGGATGGATGGATGGATGGATGGATGGGACCTCCATCATCCAGTTTACGGAAAGAGACACAGTGAGACCTCTTCATGATCCAGTTCATTTATAAACAATCGACAGAGTGAGACCTCTTTATGATACAATTTGCTTATAAATAATCGACAGAGTGAGACCTCTTTACGATCCAGTTCATTTACAAATAATCGACAGCGGGAGACCTCTTTATGATCCAGTTGGTTTGTTTAAAAAAACTGGACAGAGTAAGACCTCTTCGTTTTCGCCSCTCTCTGAAGCGGCACCTGCCACGTCAGTTTGTTCGTCATCATCATCAACATAAAACATGGCGGCGTCTGTCCGCGAGAAGCAGACAGGTGAGGAAAAGTAGCTTACTTCTGCTTGTACAGGTGGATGTCAGCGGCAGAAAGCTGCTGAAATGACCGGCTGGAGGTCTCTACCGGACCCGGGTCTGACGCGGATGGTTATTGAACCGTATTTAAGCTGCTAACTGGCTAGCATCTAACAAGCTTCACAAGCTAGCTGTCCGGGTTCGGTTCAGCAGCTGTTTTCTGTCCTGAAATCAGAACTCTGACCGTAAGGTCATCTGTTGATGGAAATACTGTAAATGAAACACTTAACCGAACAGGTAATAGTTAGTTGTTCTCACTAGTTGTTTGGAAATAGAGGAACTAGCTAAGGTTAGCCTGCTGCTAACAGTTTCTCTTATCAGAATCTCTGAAAGGTATAAATCTGTATTCTCCACCAGTAATCTATTTTTTAATCTAATATTTTGATTTGGGTATGGTGTTTAATTTAATTTAATTCAATAACAAAGAAAGTACCTGAATAAATTCAATTTTAAAACAAAGAAAGTACCTGAATAAACTTAAACATAATTGGTCCAATAAAGGTTTTTCTTTTTGATTTTGTTATGTTCTCTACAAACGAGTCAATTTAACAAAAGAAATGAGCATCTTCTGCTAAAATAAAATGAATAAGTGCTGACTTATTTACGGAAATTTATATTAAAAAGCTGAAACTGAACCGTTAAACAAAGCAGAACAGAAGCAAAAAATAACACCTGCTTAAATTTGTGAACTGTAGCCAAAATTACCAAAACAGATAAGATCAGTAATAACAGCTAAACTGAGCAAAACTGCAGAAACCTGATGCTTGCTTTAGCAAAAAAGATAATTTTTTTAAAAAATGCAGATAAAATCTAAAATAAGTAAAATATAGTTTAAATAAGCAAGAAAAATAAATGCAACTTAAATTAACATCGTTGCTGAAATGATAAAATCAGCATTACTAGAGCTAAAAATTGAAATACCCAAAATAAAGCTAAAATGAGTACAACAGTAAATAAAACTTGGAACTGTAGCCAAATAAATGACTTAAATCTTAGATAAAGTTAAAATGTGTAAAACTACAACTAGAAGCTAAAAAATAACAATATAGCAAAAAAGAAAAACTGCAGAAAACTCAAGTTTTAAAAACCCTGATGACATTTAAACTGTGGTCCAGAGAGAAAAGTAAGAAAACTGCAGACAAAAAGTAAAATTTGCAAAACTATAAAGCTAAAATTAGGAAAACTAACTAAAGCTAAAATAGCAAAACAGATAAAATTCTAATTTTCTGAAATGAAACTAGAAAACTAACAAAACTGTAACTAAAAGACAAAATCAGCATAAATTCAGTCGAACATTTTTTATGAACTGTTAAATATCAGTCTGCAGGAGTGAAAATGTTAAATCTAAAACTTTGTTGTATCGTCAACATTTAGATTAATATTAAAATATAAATGTTGTGTTTTGTAACATCACCATGAGACATGAAGCCTTGTGTTTGTATAAAAGCATAAATCAGATGTTTGTGTGTTTCTGCAGTGGCTTTGAGGCGGATGCTGAACTTCAACAGTCCTCCTCTGAAGAACACATCAGCTGAACCCGTATGGAAGGTGAAGCTTCACACCTGCACCTGCTGCAGCACGTTTTAAAGAGAATTCATGTCATGTTTTGTTCAGTTGATTGAGTTTTTCTCTTTTCAGACCTGCAGCTCAGTCAAATGTTTGTCATTAGTTTTCAGATGAGCTGAATTGTTTCCTTACCTCCAGATCTGGAGGTTGGAGGCGTGTCTTTATTCCAGGTGTGTCTGTGTTCCCTTCAGGTGTTGATATACGACCGGTTTGGTCAGGACATCATCTCTCCTCTGCTGTCCGTCAAAGAGCTGCGGGACATGGGCATCACGCTGCACCTGTAAGACACAGCTGTGCTGATGGAGCTGAAGTTCAGCTGAACCCTGTCTAAACTYTGTATGTGAGCTGCAGAAACATCTAAACGTTTGTTCCTGCAGGCTCCTCCACTCTGACAGAGATCCTGTCCCTGATGTTCCTGCTGTTTACTTCCTGATGCCCACAGAGGAGAACATCGACAGGATCTGTCAGGTGATCCGCCGCCTTTACCTGGACCTTACCTTCCTTTACCTGGACCTTACCTTCCTTTACCTGGACCTTACCTTCCTTTACCTGGACCT